TTCTAAAAACATTTTAGGTCATCAACATTCTGAAGCTTTTTATCTATAATAAATTGAGAAAAATATAGGTGTTTTGCTTCTTAAAAGAAATATGGAATGACAATGAGTAGACCCATGGTGTGTGGAATCTATTTTCTGTCATTCTGCATAAATTTGTATTTCAAGTTACGAAAATGTTTTAAAAATAGTGATAATAAATAATGACAATTATAATAAGGATCTCAATTAATTCTCAAAAAAAAAAAGTGCTCAATGTTGTAAAAAATAAAAATAAAAATGAGAAAATGGGGTAACACGGCCGGGTCGAGTTGACTCTGGAGCCTCTCACCCAGCCATCTACTCGCGACTCACGATTCCCAGGCGGTTTCGGCCTCTCCTCCTTCTCCGATCAAACTCCGATCTTACAAACGCACCTGAAGTTTTCTTCTTTGTTCCGAGAAAAGATTGCGATTCCTCAGAATGTTGCTCTCTGAATTCTGAGAAACCTTCGGAGATATTAGCCTTCACCATTAGCTGCTTGTTTTTCTGATTCCGATTCGTCCCGTCACATATGTTATCTCATATCGTTAGAATGAAAAGCTCTTGCTCATCATTTCTTTTGTTATAACCCAGATGGTAAATTTAATTAAATTCAATTATTTCTTGCTCTTCTCTTTACTAAGTAAATTTTCAGATAATAATTTTCTTCTTCTTGAACTTCGAACCGCAATACCGAGATCATAAATTCAATTAAATTCATTATTTTTTTTGGCCCCTCCTCATGTTTGAATAGTTATTTTCCATTTGTTTTCCTGGTTATGCTAGAGATATTAGTAGCTGCTGAGAATTTCAGCTTGAGATTCATGTATTTTTTTGTCCTGCGTTTAGTATGGATATATGGATTAACTTGATTACCTGGAGAACACACACTTTGGAAAATAAACACTTTTAAATTTGTTGCTTTTGGTTTGGGTTGATCAGATGCTAATTGCTAGCACCAAGCTAATAGAGCTTCAGGAAAGATGTGAAGGAAGAGAACAAAAGAATCTAAGTGCTTGTTGCTCTCTGAAGCAGTTATTAATCTCCAAATGTTGCCCTTTTTTTCAGATGTTTTTGGAACTCCTTATATCTTTGCTTATAGGAACTCTTAGTTATTGGGTAACCACTTTCAATTAACTATTCTCTTAACAGTATACTATCCTCTCAAATTCCATCTTACAATAATCATCCCTTGATATCTCCTAATTCCTAAACACTTAAGTGTTAATCCTTGGCTGTTGTTGGGATGTCTTTCTTCTCTTGGTTTCCAGGACAAGGCCTCGCTTTGCACCTTCTTCCTTGGCAACGCACTCATAAAGTTTTTTTTTTTTTTTTTTAAGTTGCAGCTACTGCAAACAGCAAAGGAGTTTGCTTTTATTTTTGTAGTTGCTATTTGTTCTTTCTATACTTTTTATGGCATGATTTTAATCCTCACAGTAGAGCCTATCAATTGAACTCCCCTACCCCTCTTTTCCCATCCTTTCTATAGAATGGGCAAAAGATACATCGGATTGTTGAAACATCTCAGAGTTACAAAAATAGTCACGATTTGGTAATATATATGACAGACATCCCTGAAAAGTAGCAGAATTGATACAAAACATAGTCCAGGTCACAGTAGCAGATTGATCACATACTTGATCAACAGCTGCAATAAACATAAGGTTAGCTCCATTTTTTGGAGAGGACAGGTCAAATGTATCATAGCTGTAATGTTTTCTTCTTTTGCTTCTTGCTGGCATGTTTCAAAATTTCTCTCTTGCTCATCATCAATAGAATTGTTTCAAACTGCCTCTATACACACCTGTAAGACCATCTCAATGATATAGGTTATTTTTTCCCTTAAACGTCTCCCATCTGTCTTTCTACTTGTCTTTATTCTGACATGGCTTACGCATTTTAAATTTTCTGGCTATACTATTTACAGCTCTGAAATCTGGGCAGCAGTTTTCCTACAGAAGTGCACACCTTGATCACTGGAACAGGGAAAGCTCTTAGATTTCTGGATATGTTATAATTGTGGGACTTTTATTCCTTGGACTCAGCATTCTTTCAGATGTGAGTGGAGGATTTCTGTTTTGGATAAATATTTGAACTAATGGCTCCAATTCGCTCCACCGGATTTGTTGATCCTGGTTGGGATCATGGCGTTGCTCAAGACGAGCGGAAGAAGAAGGTTAGATGTAATTACTGTGGAAAAATAGTTAGTGGTGGCATATACAGATTAAAGCAGCATCTAGCACGAGTTTCTGGGGAAGTAACATATTGTGAAAAGGCTCCAGAAGAAGTCTACCAAAAAATGAAGGAAAACCTTGAAGGATGCCGTTCCAATAAGAAACAAAAGCAAGTTGAGGCACAAGCATATCTGAAGTTCCATTCTAATGATGAGGAAGATGAGGAAGAGCGAGTTGGGTATAGAAGCAAAGGGAAGCAGTTGATGGTTGATAGAAATGTTTCTGTAAATTTAACTCCTCTTAGATCATTGGGATATGTTGACCCAGGTTGGGAGCATGGCACTGCTCAGGATGAGAGAAAGAAGAAAGTCAAGTGCAATTACTGTGAAAAAGTTGTTAGTGGAGGTATAAATCGGTTTAAACAGCATCTGGCAAGGATTCCTGGAGAGGTAGCACCTTGTAAACATGCTCCTGAGGAAGTTTATCTTAAGATGAAAGAGAATATGAAATGGCATCGCACTGGAAGGAGACATCGACGACCTGAGGCCAAGGACTTTCCAGTTTTCTATTCAAAGTCAGATAATGAAGAGGAAGAAGATGAGCAAGGTGATGATGCACTGCATCATTTGAACAAGGAAACTCTGTTAGATGTTGACAAGAGATTATCTAAGGATTTAAGAAAGAACTTTAAGGGTTTGTCGCCTAGCAGTGGTCCTGAGCCAGTATTAAGAAGATCAAGATTGGATTCTGTTTATCTGAAATTGCCAAAGAACCAGACACCTCAAACTTACAAACCACTAAAAGTTAAGACAGGCCCCACTAAAAAATCACGCAAGGAAGTTATTTCAACAATTTGCAAGTTCTTTTATCATGCAGGGGTTCCTTTACAGGCTGCAAACTCCATATACTTTCACAAGATGCTGGAAGTAGTTGGTCAATATGGACAAGGACTGGTATGCCCTCCAAGCCAACTAATTTCTGGTCGGTTTCTTCAGGAGGAAATCAACACAATTAAGAATTACCTAGTTGATTATAAGGCTTCTTGGGCATTTACTGGTTGTTCTATAATGGCAGATAGTTGGAGAGATACCCAGGGTAGGACTTTAATTAACTTTCTGGTTTCTTGTCCTCATGGTGTTTATTTTGTTTCTTCAGTTGATGCCACTAATGTTGTAGAAGATGCATCAAATTTATTTAAGCTTCTAGATGAAGTGGTGGAAGAGATAGGCGAGGAAAGTGTAGTGCAGGTATTCTGTTCTTTTTAATCTTGTGGTATCCTCCCTCATTCTCAATGTCATCTATCTAGTAGCAGTTATTTATCCTTTTTTTTCTTTTCTCCCCCTTTTGATATAGGTAATTACTGAAAATACTCCCAGCTATAAAGCTGCTGGGAAAATGCTTGAAGAGAGGAGAAGGAACTTATTCTGGACCCCATGTGCTGCCTACTGTATTGATAGGATGCTTGAAGATTTTGTGAAGATAAAATGTGTTGGAGAGTGCATGGAAAAGGGCCAAAAAATTACAAGGCTCATATACAATCAAATATGGTTGTTAAATCTTATGAAGAGTGAATTTACTCAGGGACAGGAGCTTCTAAAGCCAGCTGGCACCCGCTGTGCCTCTAGCTTTTCTACATTACAAAGCTTGCTGGATCATCGAGTTGGTCTTAGAAGAATGTTTACATCAAACAAATGGCTTTCATCTAGGTTCTCAGGCACGATTGAAGGGAAGGAGGTGGAAAAAATTATTTTGAATGTTACATTCTGGAAGAAAATGCAGTATGTCAGGAAGTCAGTAGACCCAATAATGCAAGTACTTCAAAAGCTTTTCAGTGGCGAATGCTTGTCAATGCCATATATATACAATGACATGTGCAGGGCGAAACTTGCAATCAAAGCCATTCACAGTGATGATGCTCATAAATATGAACCATTCTGGAAGGTGATAGACAATCACTGGAACTCTCTTTCTATCACCCTCTTTATTTGGCTGCCTACTTCTTAAATCCATCATACCGGTATCGTCCGGATTTTGTGGCGGTATGTGAGAATGTTGAATATTTTTTATTGGAAGCAAATTTTTTCTTCATTTTTTCACCTGAAGTAAATATTTGTTTTATATGACTAGCATTCTGAGGTGGTACGTGGACTCAATGAATGCATCGTGCGGCTGGAGCCAGATAACATGAGACGGATTTCAGCATCAATGCAGGTTAGATATCCTTGGTGATATTCTTGTATGATGACAAAGCTACTAGAAACGTCCTTAGTTACTGTCATTTTTACGTTTTCCAGATTTCTGATTATAATTCTGCGAAGGCTGATCTTGGAACTGAACTGGCAATCAGCACTAGAACAGAGCTTGAACCAGGCAAACTGCTGCATTTTCTTCTAAAAGCTTCACATACAGATTCCTTTATATGCATGGATAGATATGCATGATTATTTTCATTAGATTAGCTTTGTGTTGATTTGTTCTTCTGTTCTACATCCCCAGCTGCTTGGTGGCAACAACATGGAATAAGTTGCTTAGAACTGCAAAGAATAGCTGTGCGCATATTAAGTCAGACAAGCTCATCCTTTGGGTGTGAGCATGATTGGAGTATATATGATCAGATACACAGTAAAAGGCAGAATCGTTTATCCCAGAAGAAACTGAATGATCTCATCTATGTTCACTACAACTTGCGACTTAGAGAATGCCAGTTAAGAAAAAGGTCCAAGGACTCGAGCTCTGTCTCTGTTGACACTGTCCTGCAAGAGACTTTGCTTGAGGATTGGATATATGATGCAAACCTACAAAGCGCTGGTGGTGAAAAGGTACTCAGCTTTGCAGTTTCATATAACTTGCAGGTCTTTTTTTTTTTTTTTTTTGTGTGGAGGGGAGTGTTGAAAGTGAACTTGCTTGAGTATTAATAAAGCATTAAGTAACCACAGACACTTGGTTTAACTAGTATGGGGGTTGTATTAGTTTAATCAGATGTCTCGAGTTTGAGTGATGGAAATACAGTAGCATTGGTGATAAAGCTTCCATCCAAAAGGGTCTTGTCCCAACTTGATCTGGAATAGTCTGGCCCTTGTTAAAGTACCCTCCAATCGATGTGGGATAGGTTTAGGATACCAGGTGCTTTATGTGGGGGAAAAAAACATTAATTGAAAGTCCATTAGATATCATTACTAAATTGTAGTTGAGTTGGCCAAATGAAGTCATGCCATGCTTTGTGGCAGATCCTACATTTTTCAGCCGTCAAAAGTTTTCTTTGCCTCTAGCACATTGTTGTTCATCAATGTGAATGAAATGGGATGTATTTGCCATAAGCATGTTTTGACTTCGCATTATTGCTGTCATTCTCATGCATAAAACTTCCAAGTCTTTGTGTTTGAAATTCCTCACCATCTTACTGATGAGGGAAACATCCTCTCCATCAAGGTTTAGCTTCTCCTCAGCAGTGAAGCTCCTGACAGTGTATTGAATTCTGCGTCGTCTTCGCAGGTTATCAGTTTTGGAGTCGAACAAGATGATGAATGCGAAAACGATTCGATTGATTATGAAGATGGAGGTGCAAGGCCTGTGAAGGAGTCTCTTGAGCTGGTTGCTATGGTTGACGTAGGATCATTGGATGGAGATCATGCTAACATGGATGCCGCCACTGACGATGAATCTGATCTGAAATATTTTGGTGATGATCTGAGTGAGTAATAATCAGGTTTCATGTATCATTGTTTACTAGTAGTAACTACTAATATTCTGCGAAGAAAAATATGAAAAACTTTCTCCTCACAAGCCATGTATTGGATATCTATTTTTATCTATTGAAAGCAATATCAGTTGAGATGGAATCTGTCTTCTTTGTTTTATCCCTTTCCAGCTCCAAACCACATCTCCTTGGATTGAGATAAATATGTCTGAAGAAGGCTATCCATAGTAATTTTCAGTATCATGGATAATGGGCTATAAATTGCTAGTTTTGCCCCTTTATTTTTTTGGTTAAATTATTTTGCCAACCTTCAGTTTTTATTTATATTTTTCATTTTTTTAATAACTTTACATTTGTAAGTACTTTTAGTAATTCAGAACTGTTTTGATTGAGATGGCATATAATAGCCATTTAAAAATTAACACACCAGAAGTATAATGATAAAGATTAAATCTTTAAGACATATAAACACTGATTTTTTTTTTTTGGTCTTTGTAATCTTATTTTATTGATTAAAATTTTGGTGTTAGAATGTTATGGTTTTGGACAATTTTTAATTTAGCCCTTATCTTCAAATCGTGCTTATAAAGCGACTTTTGCTATTTTGACACCTTGGATATAAATTATTTATCCTAACGAAAAGGATACAATTGAATAATTTTGATTATGCTATATTGCCAAGATATCATATCATATAGTTTGCAAAGTCAATAAATTTAACAGTAAAATTTAAAATTAACAAAATTTAAAGTATATAATGACTCCACAAGTACACAAACTTAGGGTCTATTTTGGCTTTTGCTTTTAAAAACTGTTATGTAATATTGTTTTTAGAATTATTTTTCAAGATAACAATAAAAATCTATTTAATTATATTAGTTTAAAAATAATTTTACAATTAAAAAATAGGTTGATAGTGATGGTTGCAAGCAATTTGCAACCATCATTAGATTGAAAATGAAACAGTTTTGAAAATAAATTTTTTATGTAAATGATATAATATTTATATTATATTTTCCATCGGCCTAAAATTATTTATATAATATCGTGAACATGTGACTTTATGACACCTAATTAAAATATCTGAACTCAACGTTGCATGTATTAGGACAAATAGAATAACAAATTATTAATTTCATTTTCTATGCTTTATACACTACAAAATGAAAAAAAATGAAAAGTTACAAAATACCCTTTTGCAACAACTAATCAGCTATATGAAACCACCAAGAAATTTTTATTCCACTCTCATCAGGTTTTAAATGGGAAGAAGTTTTTTGTTTTTTGTTTTTTTTTTAATCGCAAAACTCATTGATACCGAGTCCATTCTCTCATCTAATGTAAAAGGTTTTTTTTTTTTTTTTAGTGCTAACAGGTTTCTAAAAGTTACGTTAGATTAGACCATAGCTATGTCCTATCAGGTTGAACTAATCTTTTATAAATATATATATATATATATATATATATATAAAGGCAAAAGAAATAGGCTCTGTCAATGGCAAGATTTATTTCATCCAAGATATTGAGAGCAACTGATATACTTCTTTTAAATAAGTTGCTACATATGAAAGAACCAATATTCAAATGTCCAATTACTTATTTAAGTACTGATAATTCCTACGACTCACGCCAATTTGGGTTGAACTAATCTTATTTGTTTATAATACATTCAGGAGAAAGGCCGTGGACTGTTTTTGAAATGGGCCCACGGCATCTTTTTATCGGTCCAAACCTAAGCCCATGTCTGTACATTTTTAAGGATTCAGGATTTTAATTAAAGAATTTGGAAAAGTTGCTGGTTCCATAGTGTCCTTCACCTTTGTCGCCGGACAGGATGCCGGGGAGCGAGCCAGTAGTTGGCCTCTCATGGCAACCTAAGTTGCCTATTCCATCATCTTCTTCTTCTTCTTCGACAGCAACAAATGTCTCTCAGAACAAATCTCAACCGGACGCAACTAGTAGCGCTATCTGGAAACCCAACTCCGAGCTTGTGGATGGCCTTCTCGTTCCGCCCAGCGACCCCAAAAAATTGAATAAGTTACTCAGAAAGCAAGTTAAAGATACAGCCGGCAAAAATTGGTATTCTTCCATTCCTGCTACTTATTATACTTGTGATTTGAAACGAAAATTATCGTGTTTTTCTTTTCTTCTTTCGTATCTTTGTCAGGTTCGACTTGCCTGCTCAAATCATGACCCCCGAGTTGGAGAAAGATCTGAAGCTATTGAAGGTTCAATATTTTTAATTTTTAATTTTTCTTCTTTTCCTTTTTCGTTGGAAGTGTGTTAAATGTTATGTTCTCTCCAAGATAACCCACTTTCGGTTACTCCAGTACGGGCAAAGTATGTAATTCTATTCAAAAGATATGATTCTTCAAAGTTCAAATACTGGAAGATAAAATTGGCACTTTGCTGCTACTATGTTGGTTTCAATACACATAGATATGCGGTTTCCGCCTTTAGTTTCTTTGCACCATTTGATACCCAAAAGAAAATCATATGGGCACTTAATACGTAGGAAAAAAGAAAAAGAAAAAGAAAAAGAACTTTCTACTTGTTTCGTTCCTCTACTTAAAAAAAAAAAACAAAGAAAGAAAATAATGTACTTCTTGTGCCTTGCCTGTCCTCTCTAAGTGAGCTTGATCTGATCGTTGCACGTGATGTGGTTAAATAAGCTGCACTTTCATGTCCCTCTCTCTTTTTTTATATGTATATTATGGCTACTTTAATCATGGAAAACTAGTGGGATGCGTTGTGATATAACCAAAGAATTTGTGGATACATTTAAAGCTGAAATTTTCTTTAAGTTGAAAAGATCAACAAAACAGACACCTTACCAGGTCATGGATTTATAAACTGGGAGTGCACTAGAAATGTTGAGGTCAAGTTCGTATTAGGATAGGAGCATTTGATAATCTATATTTATTATTATTAATTTGCTAAAATCCCAGATTTGGCTGTATCTATCTATTTACATCTAGATTCCTTGTTTTATTTCTCATTTCTATTATTTTAGCCTTCGTACGTCTTAAGAGGAATGGTATATGTTGATGGTTACAGTTGAGGGGTGCCATTGATCCCAAACGGCACTACAAGAAGGGTGATTCAAAATCAAAAACGTTACCCAAATATTTCCAGGCAAGTCAGTTGTTTAATCTAAATAGATAATTATGTAGAATTTATATAACTTGTGCCGTCAAAATTTCAAGCTGCTTAATAGCTTATGCATTTAAATCATTTGAACATAATCAGGTGGGAACAGTTGTGGAGTCTTCAGAAGACTTCTTCTCAGCAAGATTGACAAAGAAGGAGAGAAAAGCAACACTTGCAGATGAGCTGCTTTCGGATCCTGCTTTTTCAACCTACAGGTAAGCTACACGATATTTCCCTTCATGGATGATGGTGCAAGATTACTTGTCTTCATTTTGTATGTATATTGTGGTGAGTTTACACATGGATATATCACAGATTCACAGCCATAAATTAAATGTCAGAATCCATTAGGAAGAAAACAAGTGACACTCGTGTGATCAAAAGTCTCATTTAGAGGGGGAATGGTGTTTATAGTTATATTTTTGTAGGTGCTCCACTGCAACCTTTAACGTTGACACCATACGCTTAACAGTGTTTTATCCCATTATAAGTTTGAGTGCTGAACTTGCGGCTGATTAGCCTTTAAAATGGTGTGGCCATGTGGCAACCTCTTATAACCGGTTCTTTTAAGCAATCACCATACAATGCTCCGGAATTAAGTAAATGATACGTTTGAAGAGTTGTAGTTGATCGAGTATAATGGCATCATTGTTGAATCATTTTTTCAACAGCTGTTTCTCTCATCACACTTTTTTTTTTCTTTTTGGTTACATCTCTCACTCACTCACCACGCCTTTTGTTGTACAGAGGTAGCATTGTTGGTTTTTTTTTTTTTTTTTTGGTAGGTTTCAGTTTATGGCCTTTCTCCCTTTGGTTTGGGTGAGGTTAGGTAGAGTGGAGGGCAAGTTAAATGGTTGTTTTCACTTCTTTCCCCACATAATGGATCTTTTGTTTCACATAGGGGGGAAAAATTCTCTTGCATTGCACTTGATGATGGAAGAATGTTAGCCTTAGGCACATGGATAACGATTCTACTTTGCATGGTGCACAAGTATACCTCTTGTATTTTTTATCCCCAAATAAAAAAGAAAGAGGCCTCTCTTGGATGAGGTTCATATAATTAGCAGGTTAAACATTTGAAGATAAGCACTTAAGGACGGACTTGTGCATTCAAAGGGAAGACTCTCACGCTTTCTTGGTTATTTACACATTGCTTGTTTATCATCTTTATTTCAGGAAGCGGAAGGTCCGAGAGATTGAAGAGAAAAACCAACCAGGTGGAAACAACAAGTGGAAGATAAAAGGTCAGAATTCACGGATTAGTGCCAAGGAAAGAAGGGCCAAGATAAGTAGGGTTTAATGAATCTCTTCCATGGTGAAACTAAACACTGTTTCAATGGCAACGCCATGCAGTTGTTGTCACGAAGCAACACAAAAGTATCTTCTCTCTTGAGATTTTGCCCCCCCTACCCCGGGGGATGACTATGAAGTCAGGATAGGGAAAGGAACAGCATTCCTTCTTTTAGGTAGGTGCAATAGTATTTTTTTTCCCCCTGGAGGTAGATGCAATAGTTACTGCTCTAAAAAATATCATAACTTGTCTGGCATATCGAATTTTTCTAAACTAGGCCTGTGATGGCTGCAGTTTCATTGCTTTTTTGTGTTGTTTAATGTTTTCTCAATACCATTGCTGTATTTTATTGTAGAACGTGGAGAAGGGTTGGGTATTCCCTTGTCATTCCTTGCCCCCACTGACATCAACGTGTTTATGATATGATTACATTATTTTAACACAAGTAGCTTATTCGGTTTTGTTTACGATTGAAATCTAAATCAGTTGGCTGGAAAAATATTAATTAGGACCCTTCATGATTTTGGTAGAATTTAGTTCATTGGCATTTAAGATAGCATGGAAGTAAGATGGCATCAACGTGCTTTTTTTCTTTTCTTTTCTTTTCTTTTTTTTTTTTTTGGTTTCATGTTTCACCCACAATTGTACGTATAACTGGTTGTCCATTCCTCCCAATAAAAATTTTATTGCCAAAAAAGCGGCATGTATACAAGATCAACTTGAGAAATGTCCAATCTCTCAAAGTAAACAGAGATGTTTTATATGACTGCTGGCAAATCACAAATCCATGCTTCCTGCCATGATTTTGAAAGAGAGCATTGTTTCTCTCTTGCAAAATTCAGTTGACAAATCGTGGGGGGTTCTTGATATTTTGCATAAGCTATCGACAAGAGCTAAAAACGCTTAATGAAATTAATATTTGATAGTTCAAACTAAAGTGATGTGTTCGTTGGATGATAAATTGTCATTTCGCTAATTTTACAATTTGATTAAATAAAAATCAAAAGGAAAACATAACTTTAAATTATGCAATTACCTCATATTTTATTATAAGTTCTTGCATTTTTTTGGATATTTCAAATCTCTACACTTTTATTTCTTAATATTTTAAGTCTTTATATTTTGTTCATTAAAACACTGAGAATACTGAAAAATTAAAGTGTAAAGACTTATAATATTTTATAAAAATATATAAAAACTTATAACAAAATATAAATAAAGTATAAAAATTTAAAATTATGTTTTTTCAAAAATAAACCACCAATAAAGTGAATTCAACTGTCTCAATTCATGACCGTATGGTGCTCGCAGACACCCACGTCCCATTGTGTTTCGGACAATGGAATCCTTAACAATAAACCTACTAACAACCGCCAGGCGCCCCAACAAGGAAGGAAACTTGGTTCCATACAGAGACAATCATTGAGTCAATAGTAACTTGTTCTTTATAGTCTACCCGCCTCGTCTTCATCACACCATTTCTTTGTTTGGGGGTGGTGGACCCGTGCTTCTAAAATTTTCCTTATCAGATTAATTGATAGATAGGTTCTACATATCGCATAGGAATTTTCCATGCAAAGTTTTTTGAAATCATAAAGTATCCTAGTAATAAAATCCTTTTATCAACGTCAAATACGACAGAAATTCCATTTCCAACAGGGGCGGAATAATACAAGTTTGAGGACAAGGAGCGTGTAGGAACGAGATTGGGCAAGATGCCAAAAACTAGACAATCATTTCTAAGGCATAATCTTCGAGGATCATATTGTGGCATATCTACAAAAGAAACTACCAATTAGTAGAATGGAAAAATGACAGTAAATCTGTTATTTTATTTAGTCACTTTTTTCACTGCACAGCGCTTGCCCCAGTAACTTCAGGTAACTTGGAGTCAGGAGGACCCAGCTTAGTGTTACTTTCACGGCAAAGGTTCTTGAGAATCTCCCAGACGAGACAAATGGAGATATGCATCAGTCCCTGTGAATAAAGAACCAATAACTACTAGAATTCACAGTAGTTGAAGCAAGCGAAGATACAAACACACGTACGTCTATTTGTATGTCTATTTTATCTTTGGCTCTTAGGATAGCTGCCTCTTTTTCCAGGAAAAATGATTGATACGTATTACCGCATTATGCGATTGTAGTAGTCAAGTTATACAACTAAGCAATTTATGAAGCATGCAGCTACCGCATGGATCCCCCAGTAATGACTTATGAAGCATCAGGCATTGACGTGAGGCAAAGTATGGATAAGAATATCACAACATGACAAAATTTAAAACGTCTCTGGGCATAAATTTTTTTTTTTTAATCTTTTTTAGGGGCAAAAATGTCTAGGCATAATTCAAAATGTTCATGTTATGTCAAGACGCCAGAGATGGAGACAACTCTTTTCCAAGTATTTGTACTCACTAACTTATGACTGACTTAACACATGAAATAGAAAAACTTAGATTTGAATATGATACTTCTTGAGGCTGTTATACCAATAAAGGTGCGAAGGCTAGTAGACTTATGCTATTACTCATGCTTACAACCAAATACCTAGCTGTATTGCAAAAATAAGCAATTAAACAACTTTCACAACGGCCATGGGAACGTGGATCATTTACAGGGCGTCACAAATCAATGGCATCAGATCTAATGGCCAGAAAAGGAGGTGCAGATTTTCTGTGAGGCCTAATTAGATGCTACAATAGTAAAGGTAGACACACCTGAATCATACTAAATTGCAGTCAGATCAGATCTCAAAATATTTTTTTATCCCACCATTTTACCATACAATGAAGACACAAAAAATTGCCGTGCAGAACTCTAGTAGAATAGTGGGAGGACGTCTGAATGAAATATAATGCAGAAGACAGCCACTAGAAATAGCTTTGCTGATTTACTTACCGTATCCTTCCATAGAGATTATTTGAAGATCACCACCGAAGTACCGAGCATACAAGCGGCTAATTGGAAGTCCATATCCATATCCAGCCATTGTCACCGCATTAGCTGTTCCAATATCTGAATGCTCATCCAATGGGTTTCTAGCAGTACTGTAGAGATAAGTAAAAATTTTTGGAAGACCGCTTCTTGGAATTCCCCCTCCCTCATCTGAAACCTACAATGCCAGTCACACCAACTACCTTAACGAAGCAATTTCACGCTGGCATGTTAAAATATCCAATACACAAGGCCAAAATTTACAATTGTCCTTGTTAAGATATGGAAAAAAAAAAAAACCTTTATGGTGACATCCTCTTCCCCATCAGCAACTATTATTCTGATGGGAGGTGCAACTTTGTCAGAATCCATAAATCGCTCTTGGACAGCACGCAGTGAGTTCTTAACCAACTCAAATACCATTAGATGCAAATGAGCAGGAACATACCTGTTAAAAATACATAAACAAACTATAAAGAAAAGGAACAGAGACAACTTCTTAGCTAAAACATACAAGTCAAAATGATATAACCATACTAAAGTAAGACAAAAACAAAAGAAAACGGAAAGAGACACGAGGTTGGGGATAAAATGAGAAAAGATAACAGCGAAATGAAAACAAATGACTTCAGGAAAGTAAGAAGCAAGTTGCTTACGGAAAAGTAAAATCAGGATCCCCATATATCTGAACATCAGGAGCACTGCCATATTCACGATAACATATAGCACGAGCATCTTCACTAGCAGTCCTTGCCACCTCCATTGGAGACATTTTTGTATGTATATAACCTACAACATGAGGAGGAGGATTGGGATTGTGCAACTCAACATGCTGCCCTGTACCCAAAAAAAAGGGGGGGAAAAAACCAAAACAAAACACGACAAAACATACACATGGATTGAGTTTAGTGTTTCGACCAAATACTTAAATCCTTAGTCTCAGAAGGCAGGTATAGTGTTCTATCAACTCACCAATAAGCATACGGATTCCAATTCTTGACATGTAGAACCGATCAAGGAACTGCTGAATATCATCAAGATCTTCATAAACTATCTTTGGATCCATACCTTTCTTTAACTGTTGAACACCCAATGCCATCGCGGGTACCACATTGTTGTGTCTCACCTTGATGGCCTTTATCATTTCAGTGAATTCTTTCTCATCATTCATATTCTTGATCTCAGGAAAAGATCTAACATCACGGAAGGAATCTAAGTACCAATCTCGAACCTGCAAACAAAGAATTCAGCACATAATTCAATGGTCAATAGGCTTTTAAGAAACAAGTCTATGTAAAAGTTAAACAAGTTTTGTTCCCACATGCTACTTTTATTGAAAGTTGATAAACTTCCGGAAACCACGCCCTTGAAAGAAACATAAAGACCAGTGAAAATCATTAAATTGAGGGCACAGTAAAATTCCATTTTTGACAGTATAAGCATTCAGTCGTAGAAGAAAGAAACAAACATGTACGTATACAATAATAATCAATATTGTTGTGAGCATTAGAATATCATACAGCTCGCCCAGTTTGTGTCGAGGAAAGGAAAGTAGGCAAAAACCATAATTAGAAAAATAATAATCACAAGATTCAGCAAAGTTGACCCTGGAGCCCATGTTAAAGGTATTCAAGCTCCTCGAAACCGAGTAGAACTTCCTATACTCAATTACTCACATGTCAATTGCAGAGACCAGGAAACTATATTATATAATTGACTAATACAGATTCAAAATATCACTTCATCAAATTCGAAGAAAGTTCTCTCAATTCTCACGACTCAGTCGGTAAAGAAAAACAAGGCCAAATTAGTGAAATGGACTATCTAAAACTCTTCCGCACAAACAAATAAGATTAAACAAACAGAATTACCTCGCAAGCAAGGGGAGGAATTCTGATTAACGAAATTCACAAGAAAAAAAAAATTCAATGTAGGAAGAGCAGCGATAAAGGGACAGAAGAAGCAGCACCTTCAAGACGGCAGGCTTTTGAGATAATCCATATGGAAGCCTCTCGAGCTCAATAGCTCTTCTAGCGATCCTAATGGGAAGTTCCTTGTGAAGGAACTGAGCGGAAATCAGCAAATTCTTAATAGTAGGTTTGGACCCAAATTCCATCATGTACCTCAAGCTCACCCCCGTCTGCTTGAGACAACCCCATCTGTGAACGTCCTCGATCAACCCCTTGGAAAAGGACTCGCAAGCCTTCTTGGCCGCCATGGCTCAGTTCCGGAGCCAAGAACAAGAACAGGAAGGTCCACTTTGGGTAACGAATCGGAGCAGCAACAATCAGCATGCAAGCCAAGCACTACACAACGCAAAAATGACATAGATAAACGAATCCCCGGTTGAGAGGGAGGGAGGGGAGAGAGAGAGAGAGAGGAGCTCCTTCCGTGGGGAGAGAAATTGACAGGTGAGGAAGATGGGTCCTCAAAAAGGAACTACGGTTAGATTCTAACCATACAAGGACGGATTGACACTTCCTTTTTCCAGTGATTAATATATTTGATCAAGCCGAAAATGTTCTTAATCCTCTGATTTAAAAATGCCTAATTCCCAATCTCGTTTTGCAGAGGGATTCAGTAAAAATGAGCAGAGCGGCCGGTTTCAAGTTTCAACACGTGATACTTCAAAGGGACGGTGAGGTTTGACAAGTGGGCCAATAAGTATCGCACACTTGTCAAGTGAGGAGGCTATTTCGGGGCTTTCACTCTCCGCACTGGGTATTTCGATTCAAATTTTACCGCGTCAGATAGGAAAAATACTGACATAGTTGTCGGAACCGGACAAATGGATAATCAGTACGTTTCTGCCGTTTCACTACGAGACCCATGACCCCGCCATACTCGGCCCAGTTAAGGCCCACTTTTGTTATTTATTAAAAAGATAATTGTTTGTTCGATTTTATTTTTATAATTTGATTACTATGACGGTCCCACATAAGCCGTTTTAAGTTTTGTTTGAGTTAACATATAAAATATTGGATACGTATCTCTCTCTCTCTCTCTCTCATGTATATACACTTTTTAATTATATCTTTATTTTATAGAGAATTGAGAAATTAATGAAAATATTTTAAGTAAATGAAATGTTGTATTTATTATCATAGATATGATTAAAGAGATGCAAATTTTTCTTTTAAAAAAATAAAATTTTAATTAATTTTTTTAAAAATAAAAATTATTTAACAATGACTTGTATAATAATTAAAAGATTGTGTCTTAGCCTTCACATGACGCGAGGCTCGTTGCCCAGTTGACCTTGGCAATTATTGAGATGACTTGAATAAACATGGTACACTTCTCAAGATAAGCCCTTTCCTATCGTTACAGATAATATAAACTACCGTGGAACACGCATGTGTGTATGTTTTCTCCGGTTATAATATATTTTTAAGGTTCTAATTACTTTATCAAAATTAATGAGAGATGGATGAGCTATTAATTTTATCTAAAATCAGATTAAACTTCTAATTTTTTTTTAATTTAAATGAAAAATTTTTAAATTCATGTCATATTCTTTTTCATAGTTAATAAATTTAAATAATAGTAATATTTAAAAACATAATCAATACTCTATCAAATAATTTATATTAAGAATAAAAAATTAGTCTTGAATGTGCCCTGTAATTGGGAACAAAGGAATTATAAAATTTAATAAAATTTAATAATTAAGGTCACTTGGAGTAATCAAGCAAATATTTTTATGTGAAGTTTCAAATTCTTATACTCTCCTCCATTTTTATATGTAATTCATCTTTAAAAAAAAATGATGATCATTTTTACAGATTGCCTTGCATAAATAGATGGATTATTAATTATTTTCTTTTAATTTTATCCCTTTACAATTTTCAATGAGTATAGCAAAAAGTTACAGGGAGAAAAAGTTTTTAAAGTCGATGCATTTTGTAATGGTAAACTAAATTTTGTTTTTAAACAAGACCATTAAGTTAACGATGTCTTCTTGAAAATAACTTGTTTGCTCTCTTCGTTGAAAAATTTGAAATATTTTTAACTGAATTATAAATTCAATAAATGAATTAATTGTCTTGGAATTGATATTAACTTCTTATATTTACCCTTATTTAATATATTATTTTACTGAAGAGCTAAGGCTAAAAGATTGAGTAATTTATCAATTAAAGGTATTTAAAAAATTCATTAATTACCCATTTAAAAACTAAAATTTTTTTATAGTATCTTATATTTTTAAAGGAGCTAGTATAAGAGTAGGTACATGAGATAAAAAAAATAGTAAAAAGAAGTGTGAATGTTGGGTTGAGTAGTTCATTAATTAAGAGTATTTGAAAATAATAATTAATGGCCCATTAAAAAATTAAAATTATTTTACAATATTTTTTAATATTAAACTCTCAAGAAATATCTTATGTTTTTAAAGGAGTGAGTATGAGAGTAAGTATATAAAATAAAAGAAATAGTAGTAAGCGTGAATAACGGCATGGTGGGGTAGAGGATATCAGGGAAGGAGAGGAAGAGGAGAATGGGTGAGGCGGTCCCAAGCATGGAAGCAGGAAAGGGATGGGTGGGTGAAAGTGGTAATCAATATATATTTTATTATTTATCTCAAAGTACTCTCCACTTCATCAATTATCTTATCCTCACCTCCCCACTTCTCTTCCAATGGTGATCCTTCTTCGTCGTTTATTGTATATCCCTTCTTTATGATTTATTAAATTTTTCAAATGTGTCTCTTCAGTATAAATGCAATATCTATCTATCTATATATAAAAATAAAATTACAAGTAACATTTAAAAACAACAAGTGTCCTTAATTATATTATTTATTTAATTTTAAATTTTAAATTTTAAAAAAATAGATAAAAATTTAAAAAATATATAAAGTTACTTCACTCTCAAAAATCTCCTCATTATCTCAACTTTTTATTAATTTATTTATTTTAAAATTTTACTTTCTAATATAAAAGAATGACAAAATTATGTATATCCTTCTCATCTCCAAAAAAATTCTATCAATTATCCAAACAGACCAACTTCTTGCCCATAATTTTAAATTTTAAATTTTTTATTTTTAATTTTTTGTGAAATTTTAATTTATATTTTAAAATTTCACAAAATTACTCATAATTTAAAATTTAATTTTTCAAAATATTAGTATAATTTTAATTTCAATTCTGCTTATAATTTAAAATAATTATAAAACTACCTCACCCTTAAAAATATCTACATTATCTCAACTTATCGAGTCATATTAGCCTTAAATTTAAAGTTAAATTCAAATTTTTTAATTAACACTAACATGTTTAACATGGGTAGTGTAATTATATGAGATAAGATAGTTACAAAATGAGGTGTTAAATGATGTTTAGTTTTTTCTAACATAGGTCGTTGCACTAATTTTCACTTATTGTCCAAATTATGAATTCATAACTACCATCCTCATTTTATAACTCTTGCAACTTGAAGGTTACAAGCTACGTACCTTCCTTTTTGTAACCATCAATGAAGACCAGCCATCTTCTACACGTTTAAAAGTGAAATTTTCAATTTAAATTCTCAAAATTTTCTCTTATTTTATCAAACAAGATTTGTTTTTTTGATTTTTACTCTTTGTGACTTTGCTGTTTGGTGCAAGTAAAGTTTATTGTGAGATCTCATACTCTACCATAAAGACTAAACTAAAGATGCCAAAGTCATAATTTCTCAAATTTTATTGTGAATTTTCACCAATTTTGTTTTGAAATTTATACAAAATTTTCCTAATTATAGTTGTTGTTGATGCATTGAAGGTAGAGATAAAGATGATGGAGAAAGTGATCAAGTTTATATGAGCATGAGTTTATCTTATTCTATAATTTTGGTTTTGTTTCCCTTCAACTATGAGTTTGAAGATCTAGACTTGGATCATATTATTCTTATAAACTATATTTATGTGCTTATTTTGTTGATTTACATATTATTCAAGTGATTGTTAGCTTTGTATTTTAGTCATTAAAATAGAAACAAATAAAGAAGTTTGCATATTTTGCCATAAATGAATATAAAGAAATGGATTTCTTTATATTAGAAATATGTATTTTACTTTATTGTCTATTTTTAAATTTATTTTTAAACATTGTTTGTGTATCGATTCCTTCAAATTGTTTAAGTGTTAATAAAAAATTATTTTCACATAATAACATTTTAAATTTTAATTTTTTAAATTATTATCATTTATTTAAATTATTTTTATTTTTTAAGATTCTGTACATGGCACGAGCCACATGCTAGTGTAATGTAATTATTGTACCAAAACTTGTCAACATAAAATAATTCCTATAACCTTCAAGATTCAAGCTCACAATAAAAGTTGCCACTTGATTTTGTGTAATGATAGGCATAGAATGAAAGGGAAAGGGCAATTCAGTCATAGAAGGTAGGATGAATTGTTAGAGGTGTCAATTAAGGCCCTTTTAAGGGTCATGATCTAAACCGGTCAGCCCTTTTAAACTCAATTATATTTCAAGGCTTTGTTTTTAGCAGCTTGGCCCTGATTATTTTTTATTTTTAAATTTAAAATTTTAAAAAATATATTTAAAATTCTAACAAAGTCATTACACACCATATTAAGTTTAGAAAAATAAAATAAAATCAATTTACATAATATAAAATTTTAAGTATGATAAAACAAATAATATTTCAAAATCAACTATGGACATCAATTATATATTAATTGTATCATCAACTAAATTTTAATAATTTTTATTATGATCAACATTAATATGACCCTGATTCTAAAAGATCAGTCTTTTTATTTTTGAGTTTAAAAAAAACCTTTTAAACTTGCCTTATTTTTTAAAGATTGAAGTAATAAGTCAGTTTTTAATCTTTTTGAATTTAAAAAAGCTGATTTATAAATTGGATATTAATTGACGGTTCTATCAATTGTATTGCCGGGGCACAGCATAAAAGATATCTCGTGCCAATTTTGCGTTGCGCGTGGAAAATCACGTGGATGTTTAACTGAATGCAATTAAAATTGGTGTCACCCATTGCTGTGCGCTAAATATTCACCACTCTGACTCTATGTTTACACGTACTTGTAGGATAGGGCCAGCCGTATCCACTAGAAGAATGGCACGGCTCTCAAGGGGAGAAGAATCTCTTCTTCTTCTTCTTTTTTATCATTATTTTCTCCTCACGTTTTAATATGATTGTCTATCATTAAATCTGCAGCTAAAACAAATTCATTTAATATAAAAAAATTCATGGTCGTAATTAAAAAAATTCTCACAAACTTATTTATAAATCACTTCTATCAATATTATTAATATTAATATAATAAAAATATAAAAAATAAAAGTAAGTAAAATTTTAAACATAATCTTTAAATAAAAAGTAAGTCAATCATATAATATTATTTTTTATCTTTTTTTTACTTTTTAAGAATAATTTAAAAATTTTAATTTAAAAAAA